TCATACTGTTTCATCTGGCAAGCCTGTGCATCACGCTGACCTGTTTCAAAGACTCTCAAATGACTCAGCACTAAAGTAAAAATCTTCCCCCAGTTACAATGACCCAAATACACATAAAGAACCTCCCTGCCCCTTCCCTGCAATACATCAGGACATCAGAATATTTTGCCAACATATTCAACGAAGTATGCCAAGTATTTCCCCCTTGACAGCTACAGGCATGCTCCATTATCTGTGTGCCAGTGTTAACAGTTATCTCAGCCGGCTGGATCGACTGTGTTATGACCATGGATACAAGTCAACAGCCATCTGTATCATTCTAGAAAGCTCAACACAGGGTGAAAAGACTTGCCATACAGTGATAAGAGTATCTATTATGTTTTTGTCATACAACCACTTTTGGAGTTTTTCACTCCATTTGACTTGAGAAGCTCTCTCGCTTACAGATTTGCCTTTCCGTTCTATTTCCTTTCCTCATCAAGACTGGCCAGTATCATCAACACCAAACACTACAGAAAAGCAGAACTGACTGGCATCTCTTCCAAAAAATTTATCACTTGGAGTTTTTTTTGGACGGGTGGGGGTAGTGCCACTTAGAAATAAGAAAGTTCAAATAATGGCAAAACCCTTGGCAATTAGTTTTTCCATGAAAATATATCTTATAAGTAATTCAGAAGAACTAAGCAAGCCTTTGACGTTTTGTTTGTTTGTTTTCTTATTTTCCAGTTTACACAAGCACCAAAGGAACTGGGCTGCCTAATGAGAAATTGAACCACCAGCATTTAACTAAGCAAGCTCCTGATGAGCCTAGGACACCTAGTTCTCAAGCTGGGATGGGAACTAGGATGCTGGGACTGCTCTTCCCTATGGGCAGCTTTCCCACTTATGCAACTTCCACTGGAAGTTTTGATGGGATCAAAAAGTTCTAAGAACATGCACATCACTCAGTGTCAGCATCTTCCAAGAAAACATGGTTTGATGAAGTATTCAACCCATCCCTTTACGAAGCAACTGTGGAAGAGAGCACAATGTTGAATATAGACAGATCTTTTTAAAAAACAGACAAAAAGGAAGAAAAATACATCCAAGACATCTCTTCACTGATGGCAGCAAGGTCATTCTCGCAACTCTTGACTGAAGTATTGCCATTTTCTTTGGGGAATCTTTGGCAATGTTGGTTTTATGACAATGTGTTTGTCCCGCATGGCTAAGTACCATTTTTGTTATTTTTAGTACTTTTAAAGCAAAAGTGGCTCTATTACAGCCTAGTGTACATTGTTCCCATTTTCTTTAATTGAGGCAAACAGTAATACACAGTCCTCTATCTCAACCACTTCAACTCTTTGTCTTCAAGGATTGTTTTCCTATTTCATGAGGCAAATGCATATAGTATCAACTGTAGTTTGTTTAGACTAGGTGCAACCTTCAGCCTTCCACAAAACTACTGGTCAGTCAAGGGCTTTAACATTTTTGGTTAGATTTGCAAGCAACCTCCTAGGAGAGTGCTCCTCAGTTACTTCAGTGGTTTTCAGGATGCTATTCTATGTAGACAGCAAAGCACACAGCAGTACTCATGACTACACTTACTAGGCACCACTATTTACCTGATACTTAACAGTAGGCCTATAGACCTGAGCCATTTGCTTTTGAATCCAGATCCTGATTTCCTTAAAGTTTAACAGACATTCAAAGCCTGTTTTGAACTGAGTCTTAAAACCAAGCTGGCTTACGAGGAGCTAAGCTATCTAGACCCATATTACAAAGAAGAGCTTTCAAGCTGTTTCCTGGGGTTCATGATAAGATGGCAGGAGAGAGAAGCGGGACATTGACTGTACCTAATTTCAGCTAATCATTAATCTCCCAAAAACATCCAGTATGCCTCGACAGTCTTTGCTGTTATGAAGTGCAAATGAAAGGCGAATGAAGTTTTGATCCCCTCACCTCTCTGTGTAGGCACAGTTTCACTTTGTGTGAAAGAAATGGGGATTAATAGTCCACTTGTTAGCTTGCTAGTTAGAATCATAGAATTCTTTAGGTT